CCCCCCCCCCCCCCCCAAAATCCCCTTTATGAATGTGGTCTTCAGTCTTCATTTAACAAGAAAAAAACTGATGAAATTGTTGTATGCATCTGAATCCTTTTTTTCCTCCCAATGTTACTCCATAATTTTTTTTAGGATCCTCAAATTCAGCTAAAGTTCAGATTGTTTCTTGACCTGATCAGTTTCGCTACATTAACAGAATTGGAATTGAATTGGAAGTTGAAATTATGAAGAATGGATTCGGATGGAATTGAATTTTCCAATTCCAATTTATTTTTGGCATTACCAATTTGAAATCTACATATTTTTATGCTACTAAATAGCGAAATTATAATTATTATCTATAATTCTAATTTCATAGTTTGGATTTAATGTACCAAACAAAGTCTTATCAAACTTTTGAACAGAGATTCTATGGTTGGCTTTGTTCTTATTTGCAGGGGATGCCCATTCTTGTCTTCCTTCTATTAAATAGAATAGATAAGAGACAGGTTATGATATCTTTTGAGGACAATGTGGATATTTAAAAAAAAAGTCCCCTATATCACTCTCCCCAAATATTACTCTCCAATTCAGAGTACATTTCATCTTTTGGTGTAAAATTTAATTTCACTGTGCACCTTTTTTATAAAATAAGTATGTGATTAATGTTCTTTTTCTTTTCTTTTTTTTCAAATAATTTTAAAACAATGCATTTTTAAATTTTCATTTTACATCTTTAAAAGGGTGCTATATCTATCATATTTTTGCTATATTCACATCTTTTATGTTTTCTTTGTCCTAGTGTATATGTTAGTTTAATTTTTTCGAGTCAATAAAATGAACTTTGCATTTTAATTAAACAAAAGTATTGAAGTATATTCGTATATCTAGTTGAAAATTTTCAAAATTTTATTTAATTGTATTACTGTAATATATAATGCAATTTGAAAATAATTGAAATTTAAATTTATCTAGTTTAAAAAGTCAGTCAAATTAAACAAATATATTGAGACCGAGGCAATATTTAATGAACAATTTTGTCTTTAAAAGTAGTTTTATATCAAAATTCTCTCTTACATATTTTTAAGTTTAAAATTACTATCAATTTAAGCTTTATGAAACGAGTATGACCAAAATGAGTTGATATACAGTAACAAAATCTTGTTTTTCCATTTGAATCATAAAAACTTGATCAACTGTGAAATACTGATAAACAGATCGAAGAACAAAGCAGAAAACTTGTTCCATTTCTGATCTCTCTCCCATCCCATTTATGTTTTTGGGGAATTAATTGAGACCAGTTTTTGGGACGAAAAGGTAAACGGCGACGCCAATCCGAGCTCCCTCCAATGGCGGATCTCTGTGTATGATTTCCACATCGAAATCCTTCTTCGCCTTCTTGAAGAACCCAGATTCCTTCTTCCATCTCCTCAGGTGAGCCATCAGGAACGCCGCCGTCCTCTCTTCTCCCGACAGGAAGAATCTCAGCGTCTTCAGGAGCGGTTCATAGAGATGGTCGTGATACACCACATCAGATCCCATTATCAGATCGTACTTCCCTCTCCCCATCGCTTCCATGTCCTCGATCACCCCCCAGGACAGCGCCGCCACGTCCACCGCGCCGCCGTGGGTTTCCAGCGCTTTCCGGTTTAGGTCGACGTTGAATTGGATGTTGGGGAGGACGTGCGGGAGGTCCGTGACGGTAACTCGGGCGCCGAGAATCGCCGCCGCGGCGATTCCGGCCGCGCCTGTGCCGGATCCGAGCTCGAGCGCGCGGAGGGGGGTCCCTGCGTCGCGACGCGCGAGCAAGGCGGAGAGGGCAGGGTGGGCGTGACGGCGGACGTCGAGGAGGTTGACGAGTGCGGCGGCGGCGGGCCAGAGCTGGAAGGAGAGGCCTTGGGAAGGGATCTGTCGGATGAGAATGGCGGAGGCGATGGACTGGAGATGGTAGCGTTGGTGTTGGAGAGGCACCATTGATTCCTTCTCTGCTACTTCTTCTTCTTCTTCTCCGGCGAGGAGCATTGGGAAGTGGTTGTCGTCGGCGTCGGAATGGTTACGCGGACTGTCCTCACCACTCATTGTAGAATCTCCGGCCGGCGATTCGAGTTCAAGGCCGCGGCTGACCCCGTTTTTATCTACTTCAAGAGCAGCACTATAAATAAAGCCTATAATTAGTAAATTACTCCTTTTTAGTTCGATTAAATCTATACTGAAACGTAGAGATTGATTGAAGAGTGTGCGTGTGTGTGTGAGAGCGAGCGAGCTCGGAAGGGGTGCCAAAAACAGAGACGCGAACAATTGGGCCGAGTTCCTGACTGAAGTGTAGTATAAGAGCTTACATGAGATTTTAATTCTGGGCCTAAAAATTAAAATTCCAGTTATGGGCTACAACAACAACACCCCAGTGCGCTCCCGCCCAATTTGGGTGGGGGTAAAGGAAGGGTTGGATGTATGCGGTCTGATCTCTATGTTTAAAATATACAACATTTGTTTTCGGATGACCTTTGATGAGCATTGAGATTTGCACCTACTAACTATTACTCTGTACTTCACAATTGCATGAAGTGCAGACAGTTTAAAGAGTAAATGTACTTTATTTTTATCATATCACAAAGCCAAAAAACAATGAATCTTTAGGGAGAATGGAAAGCATCCAAGTTCTAGTATGTTTACTTTATTTGATATACACCGTAATAATTATAATTATGATGAGTAAGTACTTAATTATTGATGGAACGTTCAATATATGCAATGCATCTTGTGTGATACGTAGTATTATTACTCCATATTATTATTATTATTATTATTATTATTATTATTATTATTATTATGTTCATTATTATTATGTTCATTATTATTATGTTCATTATTATTATTATTATTTGCAGCCCAGTCCCACGAGTTTGAACATAAAAGCTTTTTAGTCCAACTCTTTAAGTTTACAAGCTCCCATAATCCCCATATGTTATGGGTTTAGCTAGATTGTGAACTAAAAATTCAAGTCCCAAGTCATATTATAATGCATGGATCTCTTATACTCCGTATAAGAAAATTAAATAAAAAATTAAACAAATGCTTATATTAACATTATGAAAATGCTTATATACCCGGGAGTATGTATGAAGAAGATGCATGAATCATCTTCCGAGCACTATTTTTCATTGTTAAAATGAATGCTCCCCCGTTCCATTTGAATCTTTCCGGTTTGCGTTACGATGCTTGACCAACTTCATTTTTAATTTAATTTCTTTGACTGTAGGTATAAAATTAAAAAAATATATATATTAAAAAACTACATCAAAAAATCCACAAAACTAGAGGTGACATGACTGTATTATATTACCAAATGACTAACAAAAATAGAGAAGCAAAGTACATAAAGTTTGACCTCGTTGAATAGTGTGTAAAGATTCAAGTGGGACGTAGGGAGTATTAAACAATGAGAAAGTACCGAGTAATTATTTAATGCATTGTGTTCCATTACTTCCTCCATATTCATTTCAAGAATCCATGTTCATTTGAATAGCCCAACTGCATTGCACGAATTATTATGATGTATATACTTAAATATAAATACAGATCCCGCCCCATGCCACCACTCACTTATGGGGGGGCTTGGGGAATAATTAATCCTTCATATCAACACTTACCCTATAATGATGCATCGCTGAACCCTGAAGAAGCTTGAGCCATATAAACCAATTGAACGATCGATCATCAATGCTCAAACCGGTGAATTTCATGGAATGGCACCAGTCAGTTCATGCCTTTCTTCAAGTCTTGAATGACCACATGGGCAGCATTGCGCCCCGGGGCTCCCATAACGCCCCCGCCCGGATGGGCCCCACTGCCACACAAATATAAACCTTGCAGGGGAGTTCTATAATTTGACCTGCGCATAAGATAGCATGTGACTTGAGTCACCTTGACCACCGGGCTTCATTTCATACAAAAAGTTGGACATAACCAAAAAAGTTATGAAATCTTTATCTGGTCTAATTACCATCCTTTCACTGGTCTCATGAGAAACAAAGAGTCTAATCCCATTGAACCGTGGAAGATGTTCCCCCCTGTCGATAAGGTAAAGAAAGTTAGGCATCATAACGTATAACAATGTTGGAGTCACTCACTAGAGTGTTCTCTCACAAAATAAGACAAAAGCTGTGTATTTTGCTTATCTATCTTATACACCAAGCTAAGGGGGAAACATGAACAGTGCATGTTCCCGCCCAAAGCTACAGTAAAAAAATTAATGGGAAAAGGACGTGTGTGAGTGGAGAGAGCGTAACCGAGAAGCTAATACTTCTTGGGAGAAGGAAATACTCGATTAATCTGTGTTTCATTCCCATCTGTTCTTTCCTTCTCCGTCTAGGGTTACGTCTTTCATTCTCCGCCACTAAAATGATATTTGTATAATTGTGACATAACATTCCCTTTGTCCCTGATGATGTCTTGAGAACAAAATAAATGTGTTAATAATAAAAAAAATACTCACTCTGCCCCATATTAGATGCTACATTCTGCATAACGTACAAATTTCATCATTTTAAAATTATTTTAATTACAAATTAATATAGAAATATAAAGTATAAATTACACCCGTTTAAAATACATAAAAAAAATTATAAAACAAAAGGTAGTGGTAAGAATGTTTTATCTTATCAAATTATCAATAAAAATATACAAACAAATAAAAGTTATCGAGAAGTTATAATAGTGACAGTGACATCCTATTCGGGATCGAGAGAGTAATTAATTTTTTTCAAATCAAGTCCAAAATTTAAAAAAATTAAACGATGAGTAGATTGTTAAGAAGATTGTGGGGAAGGTATACGTTTTGAAGTATTTAAATTCGAGGCATGTCTACAAAACTATAATTGTAGATTTATTTTCTAAATTTTGATAAAATTACTTTCCGTGCAATGCACGGGTACGAGTCTAGTTCTGCCAATAAGCAGCATGAGACAAATTGGAAAGCCAAACAGAGTCTCAATGATCATGCATTTTAAAACATATGATCCTGAAACATAAGAATAAGAAAATTGAATTCATGTTACCAAATCCCGTAATCACACATCCCGTAATCACACATCCCGTAATCACACCCATAATTTACCTGATTTCTGTATGTATCTAAAGATAATTAACTGAACTCAGATAAGCATGCACATGATACCTGTCAAGCCAATCTCTCTTTCAAGATCTGGTGGAGTAAGCATGTCATAACTAATAACAGATGAGCTGAACCCAGGAGCATATTCGTCTATTTGGCTGAAGCATCTCTGTGCAAATGTGTCCTGCAGAGAAAATTCACTCAACCCATAAAGCCATTTACTAACTGATCTATCTATACATTTTGAATAAATAGAATACGATAAATACTGAGAGTTTCAGGATTTGTATTGTTCTCACTCTGTATGCAGGGTCTTCCCAGCTTCCATCTGATGGCTTGTATGGCGTGTACTGGATAAATAAACCGACAACGTGCTTTCCTAGGAAGAAGAATGAAATTTCAGTTTTAATATCAATGTGTGTGTGTGTGATACCAGTATATATTTTCAAAGAAAAAATAAAATGGTGGACCAAGAGAAGCTAGAAATGTCAAGCTGAACTGGCCATCCTCGAGCCCACAACCCCACCACCACCCCTTCCCCTTGGCAATGGCCGGCTCAAGTGAATTCTACGGGTGGGAAAGAGAAAATTGATTCAATTTGAGGGGACAGATAATTTAGTCATTTCAGAGGATTGGCCAATTTTTAGTCAAAGTTGGCTTTTTTGTAATGTAATAATTTGTATTCTTAAAAGGTGAAAAGAAAGGAAGAATACTAAAATCACCAGGGGGGCAAATGGTTTTGTCAAAGACAGAAGGTATAGTCATCTCAATTAGAGGTCTTCTAGATGGTAATCCATTTTCAGAATCCTGTGCAGCAGCAGCCATATCCTCAAAACTGCAATAAGAATCAAACAATAAAATGTTCAGTGAAATCATGATCTGGAACTTTTGGAAGTTTTGTTATAACTTCAACTGAAGTTGAAAATGGGAACCCATGCAAACAAAAACAGTCAGTTTCTTGGGACACTGTTTACTATCATGCACACTCAAATTGATCAAAACAAAATTGGATTGAGGCCAATAATGAATAACGACCAAGGCATATATGCCACGTTAATTGTTACACTGGATGACATGAACCATGTTATCATTGTAATGAACACTGCAAATTTAAATGCCTTAAAGGCAGAGTGATAAATTATGTGGCCAAATATGAACTATAGGCAACCTTCCAGTAGTGCACACTTTCTAAAAAAGAAAAATAACACATCACAGAAGATAAATACCACTAATACTTACAAATAGCATTTATGAACCAAAAGTCATTCACGTAGGTTCAGTGTGACAGTGTACATCCAAGATCACCAGCCAGTTTAACTTTTGGTCAAAATGACTCCAGTCCCAATCATGTCTTAGATATAACACGAAGACTATAAGAAAAGTATTACTCGAACAATCGGGTGATTATAGTCCTTTAGGCACAGATTTTATCACGGAAGTTTGTCACTGTATTTGATAATTAATGACTTTTGAATAAAATTGAGACGGTAGAAAGAAACATATGAAAATATAGCTGAAAATGGATAACATGAGTACTGACATACTTCTCCGAGCCAATATGAATGGATCCACAATGCTGTGGCCCAGCATCAGGACATCCCAAATTGCAGGATTGAAACTGTGGAATCCTGTCAATCGCCAAATTGATTTTGGTAGTTGCCTGCCTTATTCATCAGTTCTCGTAAAACTTCAGGTCAGCGGATGACAAAGGATTATAGGATTAAACAAATAGAAGCATTGATGGTGATAATAATAATGATACAAGAAATGTCACCCTTATCAAACTAAAGATTTAGTTGAGAGGGATCACATGAGCCAACACAGTGTATTGGTGTATAGGTTGCAACTTGCAACATGCAAAATTCAATATGACTGATTACCTATCATTATAAATTCAATATGCAACAGGCAACTAATAATAATAATACGGAGTAAAAATAATAACAATAATTATATGGAGTAATAGGTAAAATCAAAATAAGAAGCATGTGAACTTACAGAGCTGTAATCAGATAGCTTTATAGCACGAAGAAAGTCTTCAGGAAGCACGTCTTTTGGTACAAGATCCTGTGTAATGAAAAAATTATCTGTGAACTACTTGGCCAGTTAAGTTCCAAGGGGTCATAAACTCTGCTAGCAGAAATGTTACACAAGAGTCTAAACATATGTAGAAGAAATGTTACCATGAAAGTCTTGTAAGGGGTTGCATTTGACAAGACAACAGAGGAATATACAGGAGTTCCATCAGCCAGCAACACCTAGACAATGCCAGTCAAATCATATTCATAAAATCAACAGAGGAATGAAAAATAAAGATTAAGGGATCAAATGAAACAACACTAAGAGCAACTCCAACAAAGCAAAATGGTTAAAGATGAAATTGGAAAGGGAAACATATTTTATATTATCCAACATAATCGGCAACTTGAAGAAATTGCTTTATTATCTGACAGCGCCAACTCCATACAGGTTTGCTTGACACTACTGTTGAGCAGCCAACAAATATGTTCACCAGGATAGTAATATTTTATCATAAGCTGGCACAGTGCGCACAGTCACAAGTGTAAGAAAGAAGAGAATAAAAACAATTATTTAGGTAAGTATAAGTATGAAAGAGAAAGTATTATATACTTGTTACTGGATTAGCTTCCATTGCAAATGGAGCTAAAAGGTTGTACAAAAAATGAGCTTGAAGAGTCATTTTTGACAATGATTCAATGGCACATTAAAGTTGCATTGCTTCTTACTTTCTATGAAGTTTTGGGCAGTAAATGCATCAATGCGTCTAAAGTCTAAATGGAAACAACCTCTCTGTTTTTACATGGGTAAGGTTATGTTCATCTTGACCTCACCCCACCCTACCCCGAGACCCCAACAGAGTTTGGAATCTATTGGGTTTGTTGATGCATCAATGGATAAAATGGAGTTTTGATGCTGAGAAAATTGTTAGTTAAAATGGAAATAAAATGCATTTGGAGAAAAGATGGAGATCATTGTTGGAGATTGTCTAACCCCAGACGCTCTGCCAGTGCCGTCAACTATCAACTCTGAAACCTGCATACCGAAACAAGAGAACTCGCTTGAATGTGAGAAGGAAAACAGCCCAAGGAACTCTCCTCTGGTCCAATTGTATAAATAAGAAGCCAATTTGCATTTGTCAGAAAATCAATCCCTCCATTTGAGAAACTTGGCATACGTGGTGATACAAAGTATTAAAAAAAAGAAGGGAACAGAAAGCAAGTCCATACTGTTTAACAAGCTTGTTGTCTGTGACACATACACACCTTGAGGGTGTGTTGAAATAGAATGTAGATTGTTTGAGGCTCTCAAAATGATTTTGTGAAGATATCTGTGAGTTGATCATTGGATTTGACAAAAGAATGAAAGATGCACTGGTTCCTTTTGATAGAACTTTGTCCCGAATAAAATGAGAAGCAACCTTTATATGGGTAAATCAGTTAATTGTCAGTTGTCAAAACAATCTCAAAATACCTCTTCACCAGTCACTATAGTTGCACCGGCTTCCATAGCAGCATTAGCAATAGCCAATGACACTGAGCCCATTCCCCCTTGAACATACCTAATGTCACAATATTTGTTAACCTTTAGACTAACAAAGTGATAAAAAAATATGACAAGCCATGCTTTGCTTATGTTAAAAGAGTATATCCAGAATTACGGCAAAAAAGTGGTAGTAAAATACAAAAAGTGAAAAAACTTTGGATAGCTTTCTTATGTCTTTTTCCACGTAAATAAAATTTAATAAATAAATGTTTGTTATTGGTAAGTTGAATACATAAGATCAAAGAAAAAGATTAAATCCCGAGCAAGAACTCATACGTACGACCAAATACCACGGTCACCATCAGTTTCCCCCATCACATGATGCAGCAAGACGTATCCACTTCCAGGTGTATGTACACTTGCCTGTGATTTTAGATTTGAAAATTTGTCATGTTGAAAAGAACTTACTAACTGCACCTAAGTGACTCAAGACACAACAACATTAACAACAATAGACCTAATATTATACCAACTCCGCTATGCAACCTTACCCATGTAAAAAATAGAGATGTTATTTCAGTTAAAACCTTGATGCATTGGTGCATCCAACACAGCATGTGAAAAATAAAATTAAACTACAAACAAAATGTCAGGTTTGGTGCATGTACTTCCAGAAAGAATAATGGTATATAGCTTACCGTGGTCCCTATCACTGCATCAGTCCCAAGAGTTGCTTTTAGAACATCACTCTGTAATATTTAGTAACTGAGTTAATAAGCTGCCATTATTCAGATTGTATGTGGAAAAATTTAAATTTCAAGGAGAAGGTTGCTAGTGGGCATCCAGTGTAAAACTTTGACAGCATGACACTATGTTTTGCTTGACATTATAGTATCATTTAATTTTACATTGAATTGACAGTGTAGTCCTAAATTTCATGTCACTGGAACCAACTAGTTGGGAAAGGTAGACGATAATGACTTAACATAAAACAATTTCGCAGAGGAAAGATAAGATGTCATGTAAAAATGTGAACGGTCAAATCTGAAAAGCTTGCAACCTAGACACCGTCTCCCATGTGGTGATGGAAGATCTTTAGGAGGTGCGAAGCAATGAATGATCTGACTTCCGATATATTTTAGCACACAGTTAACTTTTAAGAGAAATAATATACTGTATTTTGTAGTTTTGAACATTAACAGATGCATTATAGAGCCAAGTATGGCTACCTCAAACCAGTTGTTTAGAACCTTTGATGCTGGAGAAAGTAAAATATCCATAAAATCCCTGAAGTTAAGCTAAATCAAGTTAATAAGGGAAGACGGATGGGGAAATGTAACATATACCAAGCAAATTCCTGTATGATTTTAAAGAAAAGTTCAAAACCAGAGTATGGTTATTAACTCTTACATCATATCCCTTTGCCCCAATGTAAGTGCACGCCTTAGACAGTGAGACCAAAATGCTGATCTTTCTAATTTATTATGCAGTCGGTCATTAAAAGATGAATTCCCTTGAAGAGTCTCAGGTGTTGAAGAATCTAAAAGTGGATCCAAAAATTTGAAGAACTTGTCCAGCTGATTTTCATATCTACATATCAGTAAAATTCAAGAGCACAGCAAAAAAAGTTAAGCAAAAGGATAAATACATGCTCCTTAATATAATACAGGCATAAGATACTTTTTCTGTTCTCTTTTCAGTGTTTCTGATGGCCTTTTTGATACATTTACGAATGAAGGTGAACATAATTTCCATCCGCATTCATTCACTTTTAAATTTATCAAAGAAATCAACCACACACTTAAAAGAGAATGTGGAAGTATCACATTGTGCTCATAATAGCTACAATTTCCTTTGATTTATTTGACCACATGGCAACTCAAAATTAAAATGGGAACTGAACTTTTTAGTTTTTAAACTCAAACAGTTCTGATAAAGCAAAAGAAGAATAGACATGTTTATAGCTCTAGTCCATGCCTGGGATAAGTCTTGGCATCACGTTCGGAGAATTTAGAAATTTCTGAATAGTTTTGCTGTTTATCTCTACCGAGCAGAAGATATCGTCCATCTAGACAAGGCGTAAACGATGATGGATTTCTCTTCAACAGCTTTAATCCGTGTCGCTTCAGTTCTAATTCTCTGAATAGTCCAGTAAGAAAAAACAGGAGCAGACTAAGAAAATCTGGAATCGAACACATCCCATTGACGAGCAAACAAATTAGCAACAAAGTGCGATTACAGTACGATAAGGATATGCGAGTGCAATAGAGATAGAGGAAGAGATTAACTTGATAACACAGGGGCGGAGGAGGCTTTGGAGGTAACTGCAACGGGAGAATTTGAAGCCTGGAACGATCTCCTCGGTGACGGCGGCACCGCCGAAGACGTGGCGTCGCTCGATGACGGCGACGGAGATGCCGGAGCGAGCTAGGTACGCGGCGGAAGTTAAGCCGTTATGGCCGCCGCCGATCACCAGCGCATCCCATTTCTTCTCCTTCAACAACGTGAGCTTGGAGTTGGCAGTAGCAGTGCTGCTGAATTTCCTGCACTGTCGCCGCATTCTGGATATCGCTCACACAATCACGGATCACCCATTTCTGGCCGCTAAATTTCCTGCACTCTCCCTAAATTGGAAATTGGGGTTTAGGGAGAGGCTTAGAGGATAGGAAGGGTCATTTTTATAAAAGAAGTTTACCCCGAATGAAGTGGTGTAAGTAAACAAATGACACTAGTAACACTGGTATCATTTTAGACTTACCGAAATAAAATAAAACTAATACTCTCTCCGTCCCACAAAAAAGTTCCCATTTTGAATATTATTTAGAAAAAGCGTGTCACAAACAGATATGGAGTACTATTTTAAAAAAATAATAGACGTAATTGGTTCCATGGTCTAGTGGTCAGGACATTGGACTCTGAATCCAGTAACCCGAGTTCAAGTCTCGGTGGAACCTTTAAAAATTTTGAAAGTTTTGCTCCACTTTTCCCCTTACTTGCCTTTTACAGGTTGAGCAGTTGCAGAATGAGAAGCATTATGAATAGATAGAAAAGAAAAGGTACGAAGAACAGAGAACAGAGATTCGTTTAACTATGTTCAACTCATTCTCCCAACGGGAGAGGAAGTGCAGAATTGGTCAAGTGCTCTCTCTCTCCTATGTAAACCTCTACGGAAAAAAGAGTTTCATTTCGAACGAAGGGTTGGTTGGTTCCTTTGACGCAGAGCAAGGAAGGAAAGATTCAAGGGAAAGACGACCCTTTCAAACAATTCGGTATTATTTTTAGTTTTGTTTTTTTAGTTAAAAGAATAATAAGAATCAAACTCTACAACTTTTTATAACTTGAGATTTCAACTAAATTTAAAATATATATTAAAGAATACAATATTACTAGTGTTAACCCCGTGCGAAAGTATACATTCTAAATTTTTGATATTCTATAAATGTATATAATTTTATTTATTTTAGTTTTATAATAGTGACATAATATGTGTTAGATGATTATTTTTTTAATTCTAAGATATATATCTTTTTTCAAATAATATAATTTAAATATAGATGTACATGCACTAAAGACTCTATAAGTATTTTCTTTAAAAGAGAAATGATTTATTGTTTTTTAAAAACCATATAAAACTTAATTTTTCAAAACATCGATAAAGTTAAAAAATATTTTATAGATATACTTTAATTATGTAAACAAAATATGTTTTAAACTAGTGGAATATGTATTGGTATGTTTATTTAAAAATAAAAATTTTATACAAAACTAATAGTCATTAATGAATGAAGTACTAATGAAAATGGTTTTAATTAATAAAACATTATAATAAAAAATGGATTAATTAAATAATTCTATATATAGGATATATAGATTGAATGAAATATTAATGCACATGTGGATGCACATGTGGCATGCCACATGTCAACACAACAAGAAGTTAACTTAACTTTACATATATACTAGTATTTTGACCCGTGCGATGCACGGGGTCGAACGAAACTGTTGTCGATTTTGAAATTTTTCAATGAAATATTTATTCCAGAATCAAGTAAATATATTTCTGTCACAAATTTTAATCAATGGAAAACAACGACAAAGTAGAATATAATATTTGAGAAATTGAAAGTGTACTCGAAAAAATCTTTTTTAATTCCAAATTTTTTGAAAGACTTTAGTTACACAACATTTTTTGTATCTTTGCAAGCATTTTTATTCTCATCTAGAACCAATATTTTTAATCATGTCTTTTTCTTTACTCGTGAAACAGTAACATAAAGCTAACCATGAGTAAATCCCGAATTGGTTAAAAATAATATAGCAAAAGACAATGTTTGACATTGACTTTTGTTTATAGTCATAGAAAAACATAAGACTATTATATTGAGAATTCTATCAGATGATACCAAATTTTATTCAGGGTATGTAAACTTTTTTCTCCAACGTGATTTCTCGAAACATCAATTACATTGATAATGTTCTTTCACATCTCTTTAATGATTAATCTTTTACTATTACACAATCAATATATTTGGTCAATGTTCTTCAATAACATAATCGGTACCCTCTTTTAAAAACTATTTTATGGTTTGAATCCCCTAACATTTGATTTCATTAAGAAGAATTGAAATGTTATCTAATCGTCTTCAACAACTACATCTAAATATGTTTGACATGAAGAATGAGAACTTAAGTACTCTTTTTTACCTCTTAGAATAAGGGATATGACAAATTCATTTGTCATTTAACAAATTCGATTGTGGGTGCTAATAATGCACTATCCTTAAAAAAAATAATTTTTTCATGTTCTCTAATAAGTTTGGATAAGTAAAGTCCACTATACTCTTGAGGGGGTAACTTGTGTCAAGCATCAAGAATTTAAGTGGGATTTCAACGTCAGCAGTTTCATCGATCACTTGTCCAAGTTTTCCATCTTTGACTTTGCTTATCAATACAGAAAAAGATTATGTGTCCCTATCAGTGCAAGAGCGTGTAGATAAATGCAATCTCATATTCTTAGCTAACCTATAAACTTTACATTACAATCACATTTGTGAGAATTGGTGTTAGCACCCACAATTTCCTCTCTCTACGCTATGAGTAGACCTGAAAGAATTTGGATAAAATCACCTCCGAACATAGCTCTTTTCCCTCCGAATGGTTCATTTATGAAGTTATTATTAAAAAATCTCATTACATCTCTCATTTTTCCGAAAAAAATTAGTGGGTGACTCATGGTACTTGTCACTAATAATGTGACGAACAACTTTTTTAGCAGATTCCCACATCTTGACTTAACAACCTCTTTCATACCTTCAATAAATTCTTTATCATCGGTTAATAACCTCAATGCTTCACATTCTTCCTTGAATGCATTATGTAGAACATTGTTAACTGTCCTCAAGCGCTT